AAAATATGAACAAAACCAACTTATTACAGAATGGTTGAGGGCATTCCTTCTTGCTAGCTCATCTGGGTACAGTGAGCTTGGGTGACTTGGGGCAAGGGACAAAGAAAGCCACGTCCAGGTTTTACATCACTGGTGTTCCCTGCCTAATGCTGGACCCACACTCTGCCCTCTAGGAGCTGGGGTGGTGGGACAGACTATAGTCTGCCTGAGCATCTTCAGGCCAGGCCAGGAGTATGCTACTCTGTGTACACCTCTGCTCTGTACTACGAGGTCTCCTCCTTAGGCAGTGTGCAGGCCTGGAGAGAGCATGATCCTATGGGGTCCCCTGACCTGGCTGCTGTCTCACGAAGGCCCTCAAAGTTAAGAGCTTTTTTCTGTGACAGAAGACATGACTTCATTATTTTATTTCTTTCCTCCTGCATATGCACTGCAGTCTCTTTAATCCCCCAATTTTTGCTTCAAGGCAATGTGTTCTACATAATGCATTGCCCTCCCATTCTTAATGACCGACTCTGAATTATTGACATTAATGGAGAGAAGGATTCAAGGAGAGTCGTAATTAGGTGTCTAATATTGTACTAAAGTGCCTCGTAGATTGAAAAGTGATGATTCTTAGCGGAGTGCATGCACTTGGGTCTGTATGGCCCAGGGGACAAATGCTGCTCCTACTTCAGACCTGTGCTAATCTGCATCCTGGAAGAGCAGCTGCCGCTCTACCTTCTGGCCTGACAAGTGTGGCCCGATGCTTTCCCAAAACCAACCGACTGGCCTCCAGGCTGACTATTCAAGAGACACTACCTGATGAGACCCTCAATGTTGGGTGAGCTTGGAAGAATAGGTATTAAAAAAGATGTGTCATGGCCACCGACCTAGTTCGCTTCCTATTGCTGTGAGAGAGACCAGGACCAAAAGCAACTTGGGGAGGAAAGGGTTCCTTTGTTTACACTTCCCTCTCACAGTCCATCACTGAGGGAAACCAAGACAGGAACTCAAGCAGGGCAGGAACCTGGAGGCCTGGGCTGAAGCAGCGACCATACTGCTTTCCTGGCTCCCCATGCCTTTCTCAGCACCCCTCCACCCACCTTCTTAAATACAACCCAGGACCACCTGCCCAGGGTGGCACCGCTCACAGTGAGCTGGACCCTCCCACATCAATCATTAATCAAGAAAATACTCTCACAGACTTGACTACAGGCCAATCTGGTGAAGACATTTTCTCAGTTGAGGTTCCCTCTTACCAGACTTATGCCAAGATGACAAAATACTAGCCAGCCCACTCACAGAGTCCAAGTTCAAAGCTCTGGAAAGAACTGATGAGGTTGTCTCCTCAACTCTTGTTGTGAGGGAGCCAAGATTGTGGAAGAAGAAGGAGAAGGTAAGAGCAGAGGATTTGCGTCATATCCTTGCTAAGTGCACACCCCACTGGCAGTGAACCAAAACCGAAACGGAAATGATGATGCTGTGTTTTCTTGCCAGGAAGACCCCTATGGAGCTCTAGTTAAACAGCCCTACGTCAAAATAAAAGGGATACATTTATGCTTACTAGTTTTTATTGGAATGAAGCATGGGCAGTCCCCTCCCCCAATACACCTTGCCCAGCTGTTTGAATTGTGTCTGGTCCTGGATGAGAAATGGGGCACTTTCCGATTCCCCAACGCTGATTCCTGAATGAGTTGGCTTTCTTAGGAAGTGTGTGCCCACATAACTGTCCTCAAATCCATACATCTCAGTGGAAGCAAAGTATCCACAAGTGGAGGAACCCCATGGGCCTGACCCAGGGCACCCAGTTAGCCTAAGAACTTCCAACGCCACTGGGAATCCGCTCCACTCCAACTGTGGTCCTGAGGCTGTGCCACATCGTAGCAGAAAAGTAGAAATTTTTTGGTCATGGGATGGTAGTGTATGACCAGGAACAAGGTGACATCAGGTAGGGATAGCAGAGAACACAGGCCGCTGTAAGGTCTCATCAATCAGGAGACCAGGGACCATATCCTTGTGCTTTCTTAAACCATAATCTCTAGTAATTACTGCATTTGACCACCAGAGGGCAACAGTGTTTCTAGAATGAAGACTCGAAGCTCTAAGAGAATCAAAGAAATCTCTGAGCTGGAAGGGGTCTTTAAATATCATTTGGTCCCCTGGTTTTCATGGTTTTTTGTTTGTTTGTTTTTCTGTTGTTTGTTTGTTTTCCAGATGAAGTCTACAGCAAGAATTGCATCCCTCATCACGACGTAGTTCGTGCACATCTATTTGGACCACATTGTGAAACATCACTCTTCCTTTAGTCGTTCACTCTCAAGTCATTTCATTACGTAGGACCTTGGGTGTAGCTCAGTGGTGGAACATGTGCCTAGCATGTGTGGGCTGTGGACTCAATCCCTAGACCCCAAATTAAAACAACTGGACCCACAGAAATCGATTTCATAACTTGCTGATGGGCCCTTACTTTGAAAAACTGACTTAGTCCCAGCCCCTCATGTTAGAAAAGGAGTATACTCACCTCTAAATGAAGAAGGATCCTTATGCCCCTATGTGTTACATTTCTCTCACTCAGGCATCCACTTGCTCCCCCTGACTCAGTCCTGGGTGCAGGACAGATACAGTGTGGCAACCTAGTGCATAATCCTACCCAGTGCCCCTGGGATGAAGACTGTAACCCGAGGGTGGCCATCTACCAGCAGTAGACAAGTGCCCTGAGTGCTGTGGCTTCCCTCGTTATGGGAGCTCCTACAGACACCTTTCTGGAAGCTGCCCTCATCAGGCTATGTGTTTGTGTTCTTTTAGGTGGCTGAACACTTCAAAACAAAAAGTATGCCAAAGAGGTCTTTCCTAGGGATGCTACCCTGCATCTGAATTAAGGCCACAAAATCCAGGTTAATGCCTAACACAAAATGCTCCAGAAATAGCTACTGGGTGATGGACTACCCCATCACATATTTTGATTCTTTGCCTGCTTTATCATATGACACAACTTGTATAAACCCCCGTGATGGTGGAACATGTTATTTCCATTCTAAGTGGGGTGACAGCTAGAGAATGCTTACGTCTAGGTCTTCAGGTTGTGTGACTCTTTGGAGGTAAAACAGGAGCCAGTTTAAAGTATAAATATGACCTGCTGCAGATCCCAGGAAGCCAGCTCCATCCAGTCCCCCGTCAGGAATCAACCCCTATTCCCAGCCTTTCCCCTATATTTCTGCCTCCCTCACAGACCTTTGCATGCCCTGGCCAGATGGTCATCTCCCCAACACTGGCCTGCTTGATCATCTTTGAGAGTGGACCTTTCTTTAGGAACCCTTTAAGGAAAACAATTTCACTAGATTCAGGCTGAAATTGATTCTTGGCACACTGACCCCTTTTCCTTGCCCCCCACAACCACAGAGATGTTAAAAATCAGGGGGGTTCAGGGGAAACACAAAATCAGGGAATTGTTTCTCGGGGCTGATGTCTTAGATCCCATGCTTTATTGACTCTCTCACACTCCCCTTGCAATGAAGTAGGTTCTCCTTAAAGTTCAGGAACCTTGTACTAGTACAGTGGATAAACAGAACCAGAGCTCTTGGTGAAGGGAAGGGGATGCGTTTTCCTTCAGGTTTTGAGAGCTAGCTTATTTCATAAGGATGCCAAGGACTCCTTTTCCAAGGGGTGGCCAAAAGCACAGGAATGCAAGGTATTTAATGGTTTTTAAAAATTGCGTGTGTGGTGTGTGTGTGTGTGTGTGTGTGTGTGTGTGTGTGTGTGTGTGTGTATGTGTGTGTGTGTTCTGTGTGTGCATGCAAGCGGTAGCAGGCAGTGGAAGTCAGAGGACAACCTGGGACAGTCAGTTCTCTTCTCTCACTCCTAGGTCAGGGGACCAAGTCACATTATCAGGCTTGCTGCCAACTGCCACCATTATCCAGTGGCCATCTCACTAGCCCTGTTTTATGATTTTAAGAAATCAGCTTGGAATGAAGGAAAATGGCCTTTGAAAACTCGTGTACTTTGTCAGTCTGAGTTTTTTTGTTTTGCCTTGTTTTTGTTTTAATAGAGAGTTCTCCCCTAGATAATCAGGGAGGCTGCCTTCAGGGCTCCTCTTTCCTCTTTGAGAGGAAGGCAAGCTCATAATGTGACCTCATTTCTCTAGTGAACCAGTAAAGGCTGGAGCTTGGAGTGAGGAGGGGGTGTCCCCGAGACAGTAAAGGTTTTTTGTTTGTAAACAGTCACAATAGTTTGCCTTTTTCTAGAAATAAGGAACAAGGCTGACCGTCCAAAGGGCATTTCACATCCTCTGATCCTAGACAGAGGACAGTCTTCACCATCCCACGGATCTAAATCTTAGGCTCAGAGCTATGTAAGATCTAAGGCCGCAGGTCTGTGGCTTTGTGGAACATTCAGGAGCCACATTGCCTTTGGGACTCTGCAGTTATTTAAAGTTTTAAAGTCTGTTTGACGAAGGGAGCCACGCAGCTTCACTCACACAACTCCACACCTACAGTCACAGCCTGGAAAGCACCGGCTTTCAGTTCCTGCAGAAGACAGCTTTGGCCCTGTCACTTGCCGGTTAGATCAGGACGACGCCAGAACTAGGTGGTCCCTGCGCAGACCTATGGGGAATCTTTATCCTGAAGCCTTATACAGTAGTCTGCAATCCACAACCAAACAGAAACGAAACACCAGAAACTTGTCTGCGATGCTGAGAGCTAGCTGGCTTAGACTTTGGACACACCGCCCCAGTCTTTGGTAGCAGCCATAGAATTTAAGCCATAGGTCGGTTGGGTACACGTTGCGCATCCCAACAGCATCCCATGCTGGGTACCCCAACCACGGGCTGTCATGGGACCCTTTTTTTCTGCTTTCCCCAAACGTCCCTATCCTATGCCTTCACACGCTAAGTATTTCTGGCCTCAGAAATACCGAAAGGGCGGAGGCAGCGTTTGAGGACTCTGCGCCCCTGGCGCGGCACGATCTCGGGCTGGGAGCGCGGCCGTCCCCGCGCGTGTCCCTCCGCGTCGCGGCCCACTCACCCACGCGCGGCCCTCCTGCACGCCGGCCAGCACCCGCAGCGCGCTGGGCGAGCCGGCGCGGAAGTTGAAGAAGTGCAGGGCAGCGCGCGCCGCCAACTGCAGGATCCCGCGTGGCAGCCCCGCCGCCGCCGGGGGCCGCGCGGGGACGTCGGGGTGCTCCCGGGCAGCCGCGCGCACTGCGAGGCTCAGCAGCAGCCAGAGGCTCAGCAGCAGCGCGGGCGCCGGGGGTCGACGAGGCTGCATGGACGCGGATGGCGGGGGCCAAGGAGACTGCGTGGAGGCGAGAAACTTGCACCGAGCTCCCCGAACCGGGTTCGCGGGGTTCGCGGAAATAGGCCGCGGCGGCCACTCCCCTCCGCCCCCGGGTCACCGCCCTTCCTCGCCGCCCCTGTCCAAGCAGAAGGACCAGAAAGCGCCTCCGGGAAAGCGGGTCAGAGAGCGTGTCCCCGATTACGCGGTGAGAGGGGCCAGAGGGCAGTGGGGCTCCTCTTCGAGGGCACACCCCGACCCCCAGCCCTGGGGACCTGGCTTTGTCGCCTGAGGCTGCTGCCATTTCGTAACTGTCTGGTTTTAGAGCGAACCCACTCCAAAGGTTAGCTGCAGGTGAAAGAGGAGAGAGGTGACAGGAACCGGCCGCCTCAGGCCTTGATGGGGACTTTCAGCGCGCAGAGGGCGTGAGCAGGTAGTGAGCACCTGCCGGCCAGCCTGGAGGCAGGGAGGAGGGGCGGTGGGCAGCAGGATGGAGGCTCTGAGAACCAAGGAGATTACTTAATACTGGTGAGAGGCCTTGGGTTGAAGCCAGATTCTAGTGCAGTCAGACGTGGATGCAACGTGGCAGTGAAGGCAAGCGGTGGCTGCTGTTTCTAAACCTCAGCTGAGAGAGAAAGGCCATGGCGGGTGCTGAGAGACGGCTTGGCGAATACAGGGTCTTGTCATCAAGCCTGATGACTGGTTTCTTCCCAGGACCAACATGGTGGAAGGAGAGAGCATACTCTGTCCTCTGACCCCCATCCACCCACCTCCGGCTCAAGAAGTTAAATAATAAACAAAATGTAAAGGGAGAGAGAGAGAGAGAGAGAGAGAGAGAGAGAGAGAGAGAGAGAGAGAGAGAGAGAGAGAGACAGAGAGAGAGAGAGAGAGAGAGACAGAGAGAGACAGAGAGAGAGAGAGAGATGAGAAAAATCCAGGACAGCCAGAGATACTCAGGGGTCTAGCCCACGTCATCAGCAGTGGTCGCCCTACTGAGGGGCCAAAGAATGGTTGAGACCCAGCTTGTTAAATCCTGCTTGAGATGCTGGGGGCAACCTGACCAGAAAAGGGGGCACTTGGTTGGGTAGCTTGCCTGCCATTCCACCCTGCAGCCCACTGCCTGCCATCCGCCTTAGACTCCAGCACTCACAGATGGGATTCTGGAGCAAGGCATTCCACGGTCATCAAGCTGCAAGTCCGCGGACAACAGCAACCATCCAAACAGCACTCCGCCCTGTTGCCTGGCTGCACTGTCTTTCCTTCCGCAGATCTGTGAAACACCCGGGCCATGGGGAGATGAGGATGAGCAACCGGATAAACATCTGGAGCACACCCAGGCAGGTGGGGCGCAGACAGTCAATGAGGTCAAGAGAATGTGTCCCGTGCTGTTTGTAATAACACTCTCTGCAGAAAATTGAGGACGGAGCAGGAAGCCCTAAGGTAGAGATTTAACCCGGCTCAGGGCTGGAAGTCATGTCCAGAGGGGACAGCAGAATCACTGGGGTAGACGGAGTACTTAAAAAGGCCCAGACACCCTTAATTTCCACTTTATTTTACTCGCTCTCCTTGTCTCTAGACTAACCATGGTAAGTACCCACACGGACACTTGGAAAGCAAAGTGGACCTCTGCTGTCAGAAAACATGGATCTCCTAGGGTACATGGGTGAGATGCGGCCAGAACTGCTCATTGGCATCTGCGGCCTGTTCCCCCTCCCGCCGCAGATGCCAATGAGCAGGGAGAGGTATTGGATCTTTATGCTGCTCTATATTCAGAAAGCCGGGCCATTTGTGAACGGCAGATTACCACCCCAGGACAAGCTGCCATCCCTCCCACCCAGGCAGGAGGAGGGAAACAAAAAGCCAGTCATTCCAGAGCTGTTGTGCCCCTCTGCTCAGGGGGTCAGCCTCATCTCTGAGACTTGAGATGTCTGTGTCACCCTTGTCCTCTCCTCAGCAGCCTTCTTTCATTCTCTGAACATTTAGGCCCAGGAACTTTCTGGGAATAGGGACTCTAGTTGATGTCTTCTGGAATCAACCCGGCATTCGTCCAGGGCTGGAGAGTTAATGCACAACAAACATATATTCACAGTGTGTCTGTACTAAACTGTTAACATACCTATGCAGATTCTTCTCGACAATATGGGACACAAAAGTGTCCCTATCCATATCCCCGGTCAAGACTTCCCAGTGCCCCCTGGATATACATGTATGTACAGAATACCTCTGAAAGAACCAACCAGCCACAGCCACATTTGAAGGACAGAATGGAGATGGAGCATGGGAATGGGTGGGCTTATAACGTCTGCTTCTGATCTGTATTATCACCACAGGTAATCAAGAGCCCACAGCATGCACTTGGGGCCAGGATACTTGGGTTAAGGTGATTTTCCCATTTGTGCTTGGGTGGCACCTCCTACCTTACTGAGTGATTGTGAGGTTCAAGTGTGCTAATACCCACATGTATGTGCTGAGCACCAAATAATGACTATTTGAAATTGCTGTCATTATTGTTGTTGCTATCAAATTAGAAAGAAGATAGAATCTTGACGAATAAATCCAGCTGTGACTTTCTTTTCCATAAATGATAAAAGGGGCTGTGCTAAAAACTGCTGGGCTATTCAATAAAGGCTTAGATATTTCCTTCATATATTCTTTTGTAAGCACTGTTAACAATCAAGACATATATAAATTTATATTCCTTCTTTATTTCTTCCCCCTGGCAAAGATGAAGGTAGATGACTTTAGCAGAAGGTTAGGGGTGACCCATTTACCTTGTCTATAAACATCTTTCCCATCCTGTTTGACTATAGAGAGCTGAAGCCCAATGAAGCCCAGACAGGAAAGGGAAGATGTTATTTCTAAGCCATGGAACCAGGGACCCTGGCTGATTCCTTGGGTCTTCATCTCACGTTTTAAGAGGCCTTGGCTTTTGTGAAGGTTAAACCCCATGAACTTACACATTCCCTATACCATGTTCCTAGCCCATGATATCTGTCTCAAAACTCCTTGAGGAAGGCACTTGGCTGTTCACAGAAAAACAGGATCCCTATTTGATAGTGCCAATTGCTTTCCAAATAGATACAGTCTCTGGTCTCTGGCCTCTGCCATGAAGGTACTTTGGGTTCTTGGGGGGGACTTCATGGTGTCCCCCACTCAAAGCTCAAAGTGGCTGCAGTGAAACTCTAGGGGTACTCTTTGCTTAGGAGTGAAGTGCTGAGTTTGGAACTTCCAGCACCTGCCCACATTGCCCCACACTCTCCAAACCCGAGTCTTCTGAACCGAGGAGGTTAAGGACTGCAAGCAAATTCTTTTTGAAGGCTGAACTGGAGGGAAGCAAGGTTCATCCCAAAGAGATGCTGCAGCAAACAGGAGGCTGATTTTTTTTTCTGCCAACAAGGAAAGAGTTCAAAGAAACCAGTATTTAATCTTTGTACTTCAGAACCCAAGCAGACAGGGCACTGTCCAGTAGAATTTTCTGGTGAAAATGTTACATTTACACTAGGTATATGTAACTTCAACTATGCTTCAGATATGGCAAATGCAGTTGAGGAACCGACATCCTTATGTAAACTGATTTAAATAGACTTAGCTATTTGTGGCTGGTGATGGCTAAATCTGACAGTCGAGGAACTGACTTTTGGCTGCAACATTTCATTTAATGAAATGGCAGGTGGTATTTTGGGAAGCAGTGCTTTAGACAAGTGCTTGATGTTTATGGAGTATGCTAGGAACTAGAGAGGTGAAGTCGCTCACTCAGGGTTTGCGTCACCCTCAGAACAGGAAGGAGGTCAGCTTCACTCCAAGCATTGTCTCATCTCTTCCACAACTTCAGGTGTCACCGGGGTTGTTTGGGTCAAAGCCTGAGCCCTGACAGTTCTACCAAGCTCGACGTGGCCACTTGTCCCCAACAGGCCAATTGCAGAGATAATAGTGAAAAGCAGAGACAGGAACAGAAAAGAGGTCTAGTGACCCCCCAAATCAGTTTTCACAGTCCTGATACAAGAGTCAGGTTTGAATAGAGGGCAAGAGGTGTGTATCACCAAGCAGTCCTCGCCAAGGGGTGATGCTGCCCATGGCTTACCCATCACGGTCTCTGCCCAGTCTGTCCTGCAAGGTGGTCATCATATAAGGTGTCAGAGCTGTGCGACATCTCTTCTTGGAAGGCAAACTCCTCTGGTTGGTACCAGGCATCAGCCATCCCTTCCCCCCAGAATGAGATTCCCTCGGGGAAACTGTGATTCTTTGGGGACCACTGTTTCAAACTCAGAAACAAAGGGAGGGCACAAGTGTCTCTTTAGAGCATTTCATTCTTGTCGGAACAGGCGACCAAGGGAGAGGTGCAGGGCTTAGACTGTGGAGGCAAAATAAACTGAGGGAAGTTGGCATAATTTTATTTCAAAAGAAGAATTCTGTTGGAGACATTCAACTCAAAGGCTGTTTTTGGAGACTGCCTTTCTGCCTGTCTCCAGCAGGGGAAAGGCATTAAGTTGGGCTCACAGGGATATGGAAGGATGTGATGAAGTTTTCCCCTTCACATCTCAGTGAGCCTGAAATGGTGTTAGAAGTATCCCCCCCGCAATATATATATATATATATATATATATATATATATATATGTGTGTGTGTGTGTGTGTGTGTGTGTGTGTGTGTGTGTGTGTGTGTGTACAAAATTTCACATGCTAGTGTTGGGGGTGGGGTGGAGCCCTCCAGTCCTGAAAGTTCCCACACATGCATATTTCCTGGTTTTGTTTCATCTTTTTTAATAAAATGATACTGCTACAGCCAAGGTGAAAACTAATAGCTTCTCTAGTTCTGACTAAACCCTGAGTAAACTCATTTCATTTTACCAATTCCCATTTCCTTATTTATTTTGACTTGAAAAAAATCACTATCCTAATTGGTAGGTTTATGTACTCAAGTGTCTAGTAACCAGTCTGCCTGGAGTCAGGCCTTCATGAGTCTAACTCATGGCCCAGGAGAAGCTCACAGACTAGCCTCCGGACACTCTGAGATGCAGCTAGGCTAACAGAAGCTTCATAGAAGCGTCTGTAGTTTCTATAGAAGATGGAAGTATGAAGTTTCCCATGCTCAGATTATTTGGTGATCTCCCTGTTGCCTGTATATGACTCAACAGGGCAGTCTGTGTTTACGTGTCCCTGCTCTGGATGTAGGAGTATCTCTAAGTAGGAGATGATTAGAAGACCTCTTAGCAATTTGGTACTCCACTTAGCTGTGGACATGATACAGTTCTTTTAAAATCCACGTGTACTCATGCTTGAAGCTCAAAGTAATTCAAGTTATATAGATTTAAGAAAAAAAAAAACACTGCTCATTCAGACTTGATAAACTCATCTTGATATGTCATTGCCAACAGAGGGTTTGTTTTGTTTTTTAATACAATGAAATGGAAACAGCCAGTAATCTTTGTTAGATTTTGCAATTTTCTGATGCAAGCCATCAGTGTTGGCATGTCATGCTAGTTAAGAAGATGGTGTCTATAAATAAAGCCATATGAGTCTGGTGAATTTGGCATGGTGCTTTGTTTCCTATCAGTCAGTTAAGGCAGGACATTTGCCATTCCAAGAATGAATTAACACTACACCTTGTCATCTATAAACTGAGATATCAAATAGATTACTCATTGGGACTACTTCATTTTTTTTCAGCCAAAGAACACTGAAATCAAGCTTGAAATAGTAAACTTTATTATTTTCTGGTTAAGAATCTGGTATATTCATTACAGACAGAATCACATAATAAAAAAGTCCCCCCCACCCCCACTCAAGAAATAGTACTTAGAATTTTATGTTCTTCAAAGAAAATTCCAAAGAAAGAAGATCATAATGAATTAAAAGATCATAATTAAAAATGAATAATTTTTACTGTGTGTGTACACGACCTTCATGGATTGGTTGATTTGGGAAACTTGTGATATTAGTGCTTGTGAGTTAGGTTTGCATAGATTATGTTATCAAGGCGAATCAAAGCCCGCCTTTCATACCGCAGAGGAAGGTAGCTGCCTACATACCGTGGCCTAGATAGCAGCAGGGTTAGAGAGTGCGTGGTCTGTTTTTTCCTTCTTGCCATTCTTTCCACAGCATGCATTACAGGGCATGTTTACACTAGTGGGGATAAACACCAGTGGCACTGACAGCGAAGTCGTCTGGCTAATAGGGAGGTGACACAATCACCTTGGTGACTTGGACACGTGAAGCCTCCAGTGGCTTGAGTCCCTCTGAATGCAATGATACCATGGGTGGGTCTTCGCGGTAGGAAGCTAATCAAACAAATCTGGGTTTGTGCTGTTTCAGAAGAGCGAGCTAGGGGCAGCTGTTCCTGACAGAGGGGGGCTTGAGAGAGCGAGTTACAGGGGCATCAGGCAGGAGAACGGTGAGGTCAGCTGGAACAGGACCAGTAACTTCCTGAGGTAAAGGAAAAGGAGAATTCGGGCTTTCACGATGGACAGCATCTGACAGACAGCTCAAAAGTGTCCATGTACCAGGGCAACAAGAGCTTACACACGGTTAATTCGATTCTGTGAACGTTGAACTCCAGTTCCAGGGGATCCGATGTCTTCTTCTGGCCTCTAAGGGGCCTTGCACTCATGTGCATCTCACTTCCCATATTTGAACAAAAAAAAAAATCTTAAAAAGAAAGAAAAGAACTGAGAAGCATGGCATGACAGAATGGGGTCTGGTTCCAACACAGTTAACCTGATTGGTTCGACCTCTTCTGTGCAGAATGATGGATGCGAAGTGGATTACTTGATATTTGGAGGGAATGTCCACTGTGAAGCATCTTCATTTAGCTGCACCTGTTCTCTGAAGAGAGCTTGGTTAAAATGTCTTTTCTTTGGACTAAGTAACATTTCCCACCTTCTGCAAGAAGCTATGTATCCTCTGACTACCATGCAGGTGCCACACATTGCCTAATTAGTAAGATATTTTAAGTTTTTAAAAATCTAAACCCCCAAAGATCAATAATTTTGATATATCTATTGTTTAAATTTAATAAAGCTATTGAACGTTGGAAATTTGATAAACTGTACGACTCATTTTAAATTGTGAGAAAGTTGATGTTGCAGTCCGGACAGGTGAGGCTATGCTGCAATAACACAGTGCCTGTATGTCAGGGCTTAATAACAAAGGCTCATTGTGTGTCTTACTATATGTACATGCCAGTCTGGCTGGAGGCATCACTGTGTGATTTCTCATTGTCTTAATTTTATGAGGCAGATGGATGGAGCAGACTTTAGTGGAGCATAGAGCCTTGCTATGACCAAATGAAAAAGAAAGCGTAGTAAGCATAGTTAGACTCATGTTCCCGACCAGTGGAGACACGTGTTGCCTCTATTTGCCTTCTGTTATTCAGGGTCAGCAATATGGCTCAGTGGGTAAAGGTGCTTGCTGCCAAGCTTGATGATCTGAGCTCACTCCACAAGTCCCACAAGGAGGAAGCAGAAAACCAATTCCCTCAAGCTGTCTTCTGATTTCCACATGTCCCATGTGTGTGTGCACATAATAGGTATAAGATATACTTACGTAACTATATACACATAAATAAGTATAGAAATAATACAAAGCCAGGTTTAAAAAAAAAAGACTGGGAGATAATACAAAGTATGTTTAAGATTTTAAAATTTAGCCAGGCGGTGGTAGCACACGCCTTTAATCCCAGCACTTGGGAGGCAGAGGCATGCTGATCTCTGTAAGTTCGAGGCCAGCCTGGTCTACAGAGTGAGTTCTAGGAAAGGCGCAAAGCTACACAGAGAAATCCTGTCTCGAAAAACCAAAAAAAAAAAAAAAAAAAGATTTTAAAATTTGTCTTTATTTCATGTGTGTTAATGTTTCACACATATGTAAGTGCATGGCATTCATGTAGTACCTGAGGAGACCAGAAGAAGATGTTGAGTCCTCTGGAACTAGAGTTACACTTGTGGGCTGCCATGGGGATGCTGGAAACTGAACCCAGGTTCTCTGGAAGAGCAGCAAGTGATCGTAATCATTAAGACTTTTCTCTAAAGAAAAAAAAAAAGAGTATCTCAAGAATTTGTATGTCATTATCACACAGGGCCCTTGCTAATCTCTGCATCATTCCTATTTTGGTATGTATTGTTGACAAAGTGAGCACAAAAATATGATTAAAAAAACATGTCATAGAGTTACTGGAGTTGTTAGGGTCAGAGCCTGGGCTCAGACCCTCCTAATAGTCATCTGTCCTCAGTCAGTTGAACAGACAATAGATAAAACCAGAGAAAGGAGGTAATTAAGTGTAGCAAGGAAATCTAATGACTGCCTAAGTCCATCTTTGGGAGTCCAGACAGGAGATTTAGGTTTGAATAGGGGGTAAGTGGTATTTATAACTAAGAAGTTCTGATCAAGGTGTGGTCCCGCCCATCACTGTGACCCAACATTATGTCATCTCCTGTCTCTCCTCTGAGGGGGTCTCACAACTTGTCAGAAATCTCTTTCCTGGCTGACACCAGACTTCAGCCTTTCCTTCTCCCAGCTTGAGACTCCTGAGGCTTCCAATTTCTCAGGCACAACTGAGCCAGTAGTTTGATGCCTGCTCTGACTGATACAAAACACTGCTCATGAGACTGCTCGCCTCACCTCCAGTCACCACAGCTGAGCATGTGTGCTACTTAACATGTTATCAGTTCTCCACCCCTGGAAACAATGACATCTGGAAGAACTTGGGCATTGTCATAAGCATCCTGAAGAAATTAAGTTTCCTAAAGAAAACAGAGCAAGCAGGGGGTCAACAGAGGCCTCCTGGGTACACAGGGCAGGGGGATTTTACACTGGTTGGTTGCCCTGCAACACTTTTGGTTGTTTAACTGACTTTAACATTTCTTTCATGCTATATGTTAGAAAACCACAGACTGGTTACTTTCATTGACTATTTATAATCAGGCACTATTTCAGCTAGTGCCTCTCAGATTTGAGTGTGCATCAGAATCCTCTGCTGAGCAGAACTCAAACTGCTGAGCCTCTCCCTGAGCATTCCAGGTCAGTGGGTCTGGAATGGGCTAAGATACAGCATTTCTGGCAAGTTCCCAGGAGACAGTAATACTGTGGGTCCCAGTTTGGCCACAAAGCACTCAAGGAGCGTGATGCAGGAAATTGTAGGTGAGCTGCTGGGAAACCGTCTTCCCATGTTTCCCCAACACTAGGTGTTTGGGGGACAGGAGTGGGGTGGGGTGGGGGTGGGGGGGGTGCCACAGGTAACAGGACAAAAGCATTAAGTCAGAACTGTGAGCTAGAAAGGGCCCAACAGGAGGAGCTCTTCCGTATTTCTCAATCCCGACACAAACCATTTAATACCCCTCTTCGCAAGGCCTGTTTCCTCTTGGCTCACCCTCCAGTTGCCTTGTTCTTGTTTATAGAACAGAGGGTTTCAGTAGAACACTCTTTTTAAAAATTATGCAAATTTCACTGAAGTCTTGAGGGGAAAAAAAAAAAGACTTAATCCTTTTTCTAGTTCCAGCATTTCCGCTGCTCATAAACATGTCCCCAGGGTGAGGGCTAACTGCACCCTCTTCTTT